CTCTCGCTCTGTACTATCAGGTGCAGGGGCGGAAGCCCAGCCAATACATTTAATGCGGTTGTAGGAGAGGTACGGAATCCTCTGCACATGCCCAGGAGAAATGGTTTTTGCGCGGAGTTCAATGCGTGTTGACATTGACGCCCCATATGGAAACGCCATGAAGAGCTATGCGCTCAGCGACTGTGACATACCATATTTTGAGCATCTGTGAGGAGACACCCCAGTTAGCAGCAGCTGTTCTCCGCATTGTATTAGACAATTTATGTAGCCTTTCTTTAAGATCCTTGATGTGAGGGAGCCAGGAGAATCTGTCGTCTATAATCACACCCAAGTAGCGGAAAATGTCTCACGAATTGTATGTTTCTGCTATGAAGGCTTACGCACGGGGTACGCTCGTGCCTATTTCCTGGACTAACTATCATTCCTTTGGTTTTGCTCTTGAAATTGTGAGCTTAAGTTCACTGGCCCAGCGGAGCGGACTATTTTGTCTAACGCTTTTTGGGAATTTACCTCGTAACTGTTACGGCTATGACCGTTTGAAATTAGTAAGAAGTCGTCCGCATACGCTATTATTTCTGATAGGTCTATTAACTTACCCTAGGTCTATTAACTTACGCGCAGCGCGAACGAAAGACACGCACACACACACACACAAACATACATACAGACAGACACTTCCTTTTATATTTACAGCTATAGACACTCAAAGAAGTTTAGAACCAATTTTTCACAAAAAACAAAAAATGAAATTCAAATAAATAAATTTCAGAATACCCTATAAACGTAGTATGAGAGTTCTTTAATTGTAAACAGAAAAATTAAACGATCACAAGAAAAAACAAATAAAATAAAAAAAGAACATGAAGCTTATATATATGAACTAGAGCATATATTATATAATCACTTATTTTATACATCTGTATTATGTCATATCATTCATAACTATTTTTGCGATTTTCTTCCACTAAATGTGGTTTGTGACCCCCTTTTCCATGGCAATTTTTCATTCTCCGGATACGTACTATCACCCCTCTGCATTTATTGGTCGAATTCGGAAACACGCCGCATATATAAAATAAAGATATATCATACAATCGTATATTTTATAATTAAGATAATCAAGATTTCATCTGTGTGAGATGAAATTATGTAAATTTCTTTATTTTAATTATTTTATTTCCACTTTCGATCCTAAAAACAGTAAATTCTTAAAATAAAACCCTTTAAACTGTGTTATTTCAAAATTGATCCATGTCCTAATGATTTTTGCATAACGCTAATGACATAGTATCTTGAAATTATTAAGTTCAGACAATAATAATTTCAAGATAGAAACGTAAAACTAACCAATCAAAATAAAGCCAATTCTCAAATTATTTTGAATCAGGCTTTCTTAGGCATATCGGTCTCTCTCTCTCTCTCGCTTGCATACTTTCAACATGCTTGCTCTCTCTTGCTGCACTTCTTTTAACTCAATCGAAATTAATCGCTATGAAAATGTAGAAAAAGCACAAATGTAATCAAAAACCAAGGCTCAGAATACGTTCATTACATTACGTAATTTAAGTAATTCAATTTAAGAATGTGAGTAATAAAGAAATAGTAAATCGACCGTGACTATAATTACTTCTTCGTGCATCTATACTTGTGTTTTCTCTGTGCATCATCTAGACTGATACACGCACACACACATATATATACATACACACACACACACACACATATATATATACAGGGTCTGTCCGGAAAGTAGTAAGACTGAAATTTAAAAATATTATTCATAATTTTGGCATATCGACTTGATAATTTTCAAAATATGCCCCTTCTGCATCAACACAGCGTTTCCAGCGACTCTGCAATCACTGAAGCCTCTCTGGGAACGCAGACACTGGAATGTTCTTCGGCATCCTCGTTGCGGCCTCTTGAATTACCTGGACCTAGCCGTGGTGCTGTTCTTTCATGACCTTTTCAGTTGGGGGAAGAGCGACATCTGGGCTGTAGGGTGCCTGGAAAAGCTGTGCGATGCCATGTTTGGTTAGGAAGTCCATGACAGCAAAGGAGGTGTGGCTCAGCTTATTGTCGAGATGCAGCCTCCATGATGCAGCGATTGCTGGACGAACGAGGGCTACTCGTTTTCAGAAATTGAGGCTGTTGCAGTTCAAAAGATTTCGCACTTTCGCTAAGTTTTCGTCACTTTTTGCCGTTGAAATGCATTCTGACCGTTGCTCATCTTCAATTTGCTTCCTTCCCTTTCAAAATAACTTGTGCCACTCAAAAACACTTAATCGACCTATGGCATCACTCCCATAAACAGTCTTGAACACGTCATGGATCTCACTCTCAGTTTTATCCAGTTTGACTCAAAACTTCACCGCAAAATGCTGCTGTTACAAACAATTCATTGTGGAGATGACAAGGCACCTTGAAAGGGGGTCACCTTAAACTCGATCTGCACTCAGTGAAGGCTTGGAGACGACTGGCGACTTGTGCGCTGGTAGCTAAGATCCCCACAATCCAACCAGCACAATAACATCTCCCTCCTTCACCACATTTTGGTGGGAAAAATCAGTCCTACTACTTTCCGGATAAACCCTATATATATATATGTGATGTAGCAGCTTTTGTCCCGAATAAATAGATTGGTGACGAATCATAGATGTAGTCGAAGCTCCAAGTATCAGACGATAAGTTTAAAAAACAGCATCCATTTATTATTATTCAGGCGAAATAGCAGTTACAAAAATCAGATCTCGGGAGTAAATAAAAAAAAAACTACTAATGTCATTATAATCGGATGACGCGACAAGCTGTGAGAATAAATCTTTTACTTTTCCGATGATAGAAGTCAGACGATTCCGCCATTAAGACGCTGACGCTAAAGAAAGATGTTTACATGAAGACGATTCCTTCTCTTCATTTGTAAATAATCTCACCTATTTCCTTCTACGTATGTAATTACTTTGTAGTTTGTAGCAACTATTCATGTTTCATTAAATATTCAAGTTTTACATAAATCGGACTAGTTTATTAGCCCCTAGACAGCCACATCGGAAGTAAGTTTACAAACATCATATTCCTAGACAGTAAATACGGATTCTACAGATTTGGGGGCTCAGGCCGGGATGAGCCTAGGAAGAAGCATTATGAATATTACAAAATAAGAGAAGTAAGTTTTGTTGCGATTATTTCCACATTGTTACTTCTAAGAATAGTGTTCTATGATACTGTGAATTAAGGTGACTACCTTAAATTCTATTCCTAGAATTTCAAATTCTTTAAAGACTGGGCCTACTAAGTCAATTAAACTTTTACATCAAATTGTGTTTGGAACTTTGGGTGATCGAAAAAATAGAGCTAGATTGCGTAACTTTTGTGGTTTTCCATCTGATTTTAATATTGAAGAAACAACACAAAAATTACTTATAACTCTTACTGCAAATGATTTTATTTCTGTGTGTAATTTGTTACATCTTAATTATGATTCAAATCCTGATAAAAACTGTGATTTAATATTGAATAGTCTTTGTGATTTTAAGCTTTTAAAATCCGAAAGTGATGACGATGATGAGTTATCTGAAAACGAAAGTGTTTATGATTCTGATAAAAATGATGATATTAATTCTGTTCGATCAGAATCACCTCCCGTAAATAACTCAGTGGATGAAAACATTATAATGCCTAGCAATATTTCCCTACATTTTCGTGATATCTTAGAAACTGTTTTTGAATTTAATGGCACTGATACATATCCAATTGAATCCTTCATTGGTGATTTAGAAGAATCTTTTAAATTATTTAAGTTATCGGAATTACAGAAAATTGTGTTTGCTAAAAAATTGCTTACTGGTTCTGCTAAAGTATTTATTAGGTATTTGAAGGGTATAATATCATGGGATAAATTAAAGGAAAATCTTTTATCTGAATTTGGTTCTAAAATGAACAGTGCACAACTTCATAATTTGTTACAGAAACGATACTTAAAACCTGGTGAATCACTTTGCGAATATTTAATTGCCATGCGTGAAATAGCCAGCCGCGGTTCTGTTGATGATTCATCAATTCTTGATTATGTAATCAATGGGATACCAGATCAGAGTAGTAACAAAATTATTTTGTATGGGTGTAAAACTATTTCTGAATTCAAAGAGAAATTAAAAATTTATGAGAAAATTCGCAATGCAGATACGAAAAATAAGGGTTATTCAAGTACTAACACACAAAATAAAACACGCGCTGTACCTAGTAAGATTAAAGAGCCAAGGTGTTATAATTGCGGAAGTTTAGGTCATAAATCGAATTCGTGTCACAATAAGAGTAAAGGATTTAAGTGTTTTAAATGCAATTTATTTGGACACAAAGCCGCAGATTGTTCAAAAGCATCATTTAAAAATATCCAAGAGGCCAAAGCTGTTACTCTAATAACTCAGACTTGTCAGAAAAAAATTCATAAAACTGTTAATTTGGGTAATTTGCAAATTGATCCTTTAATAGATACTGGTAGTCAAGTAACGCTAATCCCAGAAGATATACATAAGAAGATAGGTTCTCCTGAACTTAAGTCGGCAGATCTACAGTTAACGGAATTTGGCAACAAACCTATAGAGAGATTTGAAGGTAAATTCCAAATTGATGGTTCTTTATTTAAATCAAATATTTGCGTTATCGCAGAAAATAAGAAATCTGATAGTGATTCCGAAGGGCATAAAAATGCTCATTGCAATGGAAATGGATCTGAAGAAGGATATGGAAAAGTTGTTAATTATGTTTTTTTACTTCCAAAAACAGAAACTGATCCTGTTAGTATAATTCCTGTTACAGTACAGAATGTGATCAAACTGGATACCTCATCCACAATCAAAGCAAGTGGCAATGATTTCCTGATTGTGAATTCTGACGACGTTCCGAGTGATGCAGATTCTGATATAAGTGAAAATGATGCTATTAAAGATGAATTTGAATTAGTGCAAAAAGGAAACTCAAGCACATTAAAATTAGCTGTGATGCCAACGCGGAGAAACGCCACTGAAGAAGGAGATTCTCAAAAGAAGCATGTTCCTAAAGAAGAGTCTAATGTTAGAGTTTATGATGAATTAATTGCTAATTCTACTAAAAAAAACTTCAGTAACACATCTGATAACAGACAAGCAAAAGAAACCACTGGAAACGAGGAAACTACAGAGACCACCGAAGAAGAAAGAAGATTGAAAAGCAGAAGTCAGTTAAAAAGTCTGATGAAAACGACGCTGATACAGAATGCAAAGACGGAACAAAAGAAACTAAAGAAGGTGAGAAAAAAGAAGCGGAAAAGCAGATTCAGAAGATATAGGAAGAAACCGGAAAGGCTTTGACAATGAAATACCGATTTTGATGATTTCTGATTATAGACTTTTTCCCAAGTTGACAAATTTCTCCCGATTTGACTAATGGACTATTATTTTAAAGACGTGAACTAATTTAAGAAGACTGAAGATGATGTCTAAGGATGAAATGTATGAAGAAAGACGGCTTAAAGAAGATGATTTTGAGAAGACGCATTCGAATGACGGATCTTGAAGATATCTAAGACGCATTCAGAAGACGTATCCAGACGGTATCTTAGAAGACGCATTCAAAAGACGTATTCAGACGGTATCTAAGAAGACGCATTCAGAAGACGTATTCAGATGATGTTTAAGAAGACGTAAATACGAAGATGAATTGTCCAGACAACATCAAAGGAAGACGTGTTTGTAAAATACATGTATTCAGATAGACTGTTCAAGATGAACGAACACTGAAAGAGCATTTCAGAAGAGCTAACGCCGTTATTTCTGAGGATGTTAAGATGATAAGGGAAGATGGCTGATATAAACCATTTAAGACAACTTTTCCCTCAATAGTAACTAAAAATCCTTTTTTTTTTTTTTTAATTTTATTTTTCAGATTCCTAGATGTAGATGGTGGTGTTACGAGAATGCGAGGCCGCATTCCATAAGGATAGACGAGCATTTGTGGGATGGCATCGTTCATTATAATCGGATGACGCGACAAGCTGTGAGAATAAATCTTTTACTTTTCCGATGATAGAAGTCAGACGATTCCGCCATTAAGACGCTGACGCGAAAGAAAGATGTTTACATGAAGACGATTCCTTCTCTTCATTCGTAAATAATCTCACCTATTTCCTTCTACGTATGTAATTACTTTGTAGTTTGTAGCAACTATTCATGTTTCATTAAATATTCAAGTTTTACATAAATCGGACTAGTTTATTAGCCCCTAGACAGCCACATCGGAAGTAAGTTTACAAACATCATATTCCTAGACAGTAAATACCGATTCTACACTAATAACTTTTTGTATGAAATTTACTGCATCGTTATGAAAAAATAAAAGAGGTTATGAATTATGAAAAAATAAAAGAGGTTGAATGGCTTAATATTGTTTATTAACTCTGATAAAAAGTTATTTTCAACAGAAAAAGCTTAGACATTTTCAGGCACGTTCGTCGTCACAATTAAAAAAAATATTATCCAGCATCACTTCGAAGCCATCATCATACATTTTCATTAAATCTACAGAGTGATCCAAAATAACTGGCAAACATGGCAGGTAAAGGAGACCGCATTAAGAAAAATTTTTTCCGGAATAAATAGATTGGTGAAGAATCATAGATGTAGTCGTAGCTTAAATTATCAAACGATAAGTTTAAAAAACAGGATCCATTTATTATATTTCAGGAGAAAATAGCAGTTACAAAAATTAAGATCTCCGGAGTAAATAAAAATGAACTACTAATAACTGTTTGTATTAAGTTTACTGCATCGTTACATTAAAGAAAAGACCCCGATATTCCTTTGCGAGTCCTTTTATAGCATCTGGAAAGGCGGAGCTTCCAAGCAATGACGTCAGCCTCGTCAGCCATTCCAGTTCGCTTTAAATATCTCCAGAACATTCTATAACTGTACGTGTAGAAAAGGCGGGAAAAACAACTTGACTACGGGGCCGTTTGATGTAACTCCACGTCCTTTCAAATAAGAGACCGTCGCCATTAAAAATGAAAAGAACATACAGTTAGAATTTTAAGTGTATTTTTGACTATGGAATTTTATTATTACAAAATATTCCCCCCATCTGAAACACCACAAGACATTCCAGATAGTGAAAAAGCGCGACAACAGCTAGTAGGTTTCTTTGTGTGGTAATTCTTTTTATCAATTTCATAATTAACCTCAGATAATTTTTTGACAATCTGGTATGGTCCAGAATAGGGAGCTGTCAATTTACGTGTATTCAGAAATTCTGCAAATTTTGTGTCATAACGACTTTTATTTTTTTCATGATATTCAATAGTTCTCTCGCTAGCTAATTTTCTCGCTATGTCAACCGGAGAATAAGTATTTTGATCTAGGGGAGAATCGAAAGGAAGTTTTCCAAGTAAAAGATATGCAGGGGGGAATTTAGTTACCGAATGAGGGGAATTATTATATTCACTAATAACTTGATCCAAAATTTTCGTCCATGGAATTTTCGATGATGTAGAATTTACTTTACATCTTAAACGGGTTACTAGGGTTTGGTTCACACGGTCTACTTTACCATTTGTCTGAGGGTGATGGGCAGTAGTTAGAAGTTGTTTTACATTATAATTTCTAAGAAATTTTTTGAATCTATTGCAGGTGAATGCGGCATTGCAGTCACTAAGGATTTTTTTGGGGACTTGAATTTGGAAAATTTGTTTCCAAATATTAGCATAAGTTTCTGTAGTTGCACTTTTAGATGGAAAAGCCCAGACATATCTTGTGGCATGATCGATCACAAGATGTAAATATTTTTTTGTAGAATTATAATAATTAAAACCGCCAACTGTATCAATAGAAAGACATTCAAAAGATTTATCAGTTGGGGGTACTTCTTGCATAAGTCCAAATTTTTTGGTTTTTTTCTTTTTAATAATTTGACAAACATGGCAATGTTTCACCAAATTTCCAATAGCTTTACTAATGTAGGGCCAATAATATTGTGGGGTGATTAAATTTAACATAGCATGAATACCTGGGTGTCCGAAATTTTTCATGAGTTTCAGTTAATAATTTTAATCTTAAGGATTTTGGTACCACAATTTTATAACCTTTTTTCTTCTTTCAATTACCATCAAATCATTTAGTTCTACATATTTTTTATCACACACATTGTCACTTTTTTTGCTGTTGTATAATTTCATCACGATTAAGTAAATACACAGAATGTTGGAGCTGGTGAGAAATAGGTTGTCTAGAAAGCATATCAGCTTCAACGTTTGTAGAGCCCTTTTGATATTTAACTTCGTAATCAAACATACTGAGTCGGAGTGACCAACGGAATAATTGCCTCTTAAATTTACTTTAGAACAGGGGCTTCGTAGATTTAATTTTTAAAGAGTAAAAAATTTTAACGAATTTTTTGTTGGTATTAGCATCTTTCGGGGAAAAAAAGAAAGCATTGGGACGTCGTGGATGCTTCAGTGGGAACGGAATCAACACTGGTATTGGTGATGCATCACTTTTTAATTACACAACATATCACAGATACAACATTTAATTAATACATTTAGAAAAACTTTAGTAGATATCCGAGCTGGTGACACGATCAGAGACGGTAACGAAGATGGTACTCGTCATCACTCGACAAAGTCTCCACACCTCAGCTCGCTGGCGGAGCTTCCCAAACTCTCTCTCACTGACAGGCGTCTCACAGAAATCTCATCTCTTTACGCATGCGTAATCCTCAGTTAAGTCGTTGCCATTCACAGTTTTTTAAAATAAGGTGTTAAAATGAATTATAGTACTCGTAGTGTGAGGAGTTTGCTAACGACGTTCTCTCTAGTCAAGAGCATCATAGGTCTTTCTAGTAGAGTTCAGGAGCGTTCTTTACAGACTAACTCCTTCCGCCTCCAGATTTTGTTTTCCTCGGACACAGAGGAAACAAAACTTTTTTTTGTTCCTACGGATAAAATACAAGTTCAGGCAGGCGTTCGCTACAAACAAACACCTTCCGCCTCCAGTTTTTGTTTCTCCGGACACAGGAGAAGTAAACCTTCACAGTTCACAGTTTCTGGTTTCAATACAGATTGTTCAACATTTTACCAGTTAATTTTAAACCACACTGTTACAAAGGCTCTCCACTCTCATAACCAGGCCATCATAAAAAAAAAACACATTTAAAAATACATATACAATATATGAAAAACCAAAAACAAAATTTTGTCTTTAAGAATAAAGCTAACAATTTACTATATAGTATGAATTTAAAAAAAATACAATATACATAATCAAATAACAAGACAACTTAAAAAGAAATGATAACTAGTCTATTTAACTGGCATGTACAGAGTTTCTACTTAAGCAGTCTACATTTAAGTTGTCACTTCCCTTTTTATGATGTATCGTAAAATTATAAGATTGCAAGGCTAAGGCCCAGCGTAATAATCGACCATTTCTACCTGCATTATTTTTTAGCCATACTAGGGGATTATGGTCCGTTTGAATTGAAAATTTAGTCTGCCCATCTATATACCCTTTCAATTTTTTTATTCCATACAGAATTGCGGCACACTCTTTTTCAGTGGTGGAATACTTCCGCTCACTATCAGTAAATTTTTTACTGAGATACAATATGGGATGTTCTTTTCCTTTATCATCCTTTGGGCTAAAACAACACCATATCCTTGATCTGATGCGTCTGTCTGTAGTATAAATGGTTTAGAAAAATCGGGTGCATGTAGCACAGGCCTACTAGATAGCTTTTCTTTTAACGATTTGAATGATTCATTACATTCATCATTCCAAACAATTTTACCCTTTTTGTTATTCCCTTTTAACAAATCTGTCAAAGGTGCGGCTATAGCAGAAAACATGGGTATATATTGTCTGTAGTATCCAGCTAACCCTAAGAAAGCTCTAATCTCAGTTTTAGTTGTGGGAACAGGAAAATTTTGAACCGCCTTCGATTTTTAGTTCTGCTGGAGAACGTTTTCCTCGACCTACTATGTGACCGAGATATTGCACTTCTTCTTGTGCAAACTTGCACTTAGAGGGTTTAATAGTTAAATTGGCTTTTCTTATTCTTTCTAAAATTTCATGTAAATGTTGTAAATGTTCCTCCCACGTTTCAGAAAAAATAGCAATATCATCTAAATAAGGGGTAGCATATTTCTCACATCCGCACAATATTTCGCTCATCATTTTACTAAAATA